TCAAAAAAATCGGATTTGATGCGCTTTCGCCTGCAGTGTGAACGTAGTCTAAGTCATCAGGCATGTAGTGAAAACACCTTTTACCTGTTTTCTGTCATTCGTGTTTGGTATGAACCGAGCTGTAGCTGAGGAGATGAAACCTGCTTTGTGCTTAAGATGAGAAAGCCAACACAGCTGCTCTTTTTTAAAAACAAAGGTGATTCTTTCACAGGTTTGTCCACAAGAATACGAAATTTGAGGCCAACACTGGCTAGCACATGCAGGTTATACTACTAACTGCTAATTAGCTAAAATGGTGTTGTCACAATAGCTAGGGTGTTCGATTTCTACACTTCAGCACACAGAATAAGCTTTCAGGTAGTCAAATAAACCCAACACAATGTGACCAGAATACGAAATTCCCACAAGGAAGGGATTATGGAAAAGGTGGAAATTATGAGACAGAGGTGAAAGGTGAATCTAATAAAAACAAACAAAAAAAAGACTCATAAATATGGGTTTTCTAATAATCGTAACCTGTGCACCTACCTGGGCTAGAGAGGGCCACCATCAATGTACCGCCACTACAAAGGGCTCTGGAGAGGGAAAAGTATCATCAGGACACATAAAAGTTTCTGTTTTTGCCATCAGATATCAGCTACGAGGAGCAGAGTTCCTATGAGGGAGCATTGAGACATTGGTTGGTGGCCTGAGGGTGAGTTTGGCCTGCAGCAAAGTCGCCTTGAGCGTTAACAGACATGAGCTGGCAAGGTTTTCTGAATCCACTCAAACTGTCCATTTCTCCCCTCAGATACCACATAAGCTCATGCATGTAGCCTCTCTCGACAGGACGATGAAACGTGGAAGAGAGTGAAAAACGTAACAGAAAAGTCTAGATGCAGCTTAATGCTGAAACACAAGTACCAATCAGGGGGCAGCATAGTTAAAAACAGCAGCATAAATACACAAAACAACTGAGTTTTGTGTAAGTAGTTTTTGTATATATTTTATGATGGTACATAAAAGTTGACCTTGAAAAGGCTTGTTGGTCTGTACCTGTCATGGCCCTGGGTCATGTTATTCTTTTTAGTCTAGTTTAATTTCGGTTTATCTAGTTACATTCTGCCATGTTTCATGTCTAAGTTTTCTTTGTTTGTCAAGTTCAACTCATGTCTGGATTTCCTTATGTTTCCTGTTTTATTTTGAAAGAGTTTTGTGTTTATTATGTTTAGTTTCACGTGTCCTGTCATTATGTTAATTGTTGTCAGCTGTTTTCCCCATGTGATTCTATTTCCTGTGATCATTCCTTATGTGTATTTAGTCTGTGTGTTTCACTCAGTCAGTGTCAGATCGTCTGTTAACTTCACCACAGTTTTCATAGGTTTACTCCATTGTTTCTCTGTGTATTCTAGTTTACTCAGTGTTCACAGTTTGTCATAGTTTTTCACTGAGTGTCACAGCCTTTTTGTTAACACAGTGTTCATAGCCTCCTTAATTTCCCTAGTTCCTTGTTTTTTCTTCTGCAATCAGCCAATAAAGGCTCGCTTTATTTTTGAAACTACGTTTTGTCTCCACCGTGTCTGCATCTGGGTCTACCTCTTTCCTCACACCGGCGCACCCCGCCGTGACAGTACCAAATCTTTTATTTTGTAATGTGAATAAATTGCTCTTCAAATGAGCACTGACTTAAGAAATAATCTGGCACTATTTCCATTAACATTAGAACAATATAATCTGGTACTGACAATTAACTACCTATTTTATTTAAAAATCAAGTAGTGACTCAACAACACTCATTAATTTCTAAATTGTGTAATAATTCTTGTTGCGCATGTTTTTACAAAGTTACAGACTTTCTCTGCGTCTCTCCAGATATTTGAGTATAAATCATCTGACAGGAAGTAAAAGATGAATTTGACTGATTAATTGCATATTTTACCAAATTTTCTATAAATATCACAATAATCTCATTAAAATTAATTACTGAGATTCTCTAACCTAAATCTCACAATATAATCTCATACTCTCCTGATCACTGCAATAAATAAGAAACTTAAGTGATAACGTGTTACACCAAAGCTCTAAAGCAAATCTGCATTCCTAAGTGTTCCAGCAATGATTAACATAACAGGTTTGGAATAACAAATGTTTTCTCATGGGAGACGGATTATTTGAATATTGTGAGGTAGATGATTTCTTAGTACGTGCCTTGGGGCAGCTATAGTATGTGATTGTGTGATTTAGTGGTATATAAACATAACTGAGGTTTTTTTTGACATTTTTTTTTGTAACCTGTGCAGAAAAAAAGTTAATTTACTAAAAAAGAAAATAAATAAAGTGTTACCTATTGATCCGGACTCTGAACTAATCTCAGATTTTTTTGGTTTCTTTGCTGAAACTAATTGGCAGACAAGGTTTTTTTTATTCTGCTGGAGGTCTGACCTACAAAGGTATCATAGATTACTTATAAAGTATTGTTGATTAACAACATTTTGGGCAAACAGCAAGAAATAGTTAACAATTGTGTGTTTGGGTCTGCAGCCCAGACATATTTCAGCACTGACTTACATTGCCAGCAGTCTGGTCAGCAGTGTGCCACAGTGATCAAATATGTAGCCATTTAATAGAGTCAGGAAGTTGTTGAGGAAGGAGGCCACAGTAAAAACCAGCGAGAGCTGCTCATCTTGACCACTACAGTCTGGAAGAAAAACAAACAGGAACACACACAAATATATCTGAAACCTGCATCTGTGGTGTCCTGGATGAGTGTCCTGTCCAATCTAAACTCCAGAGTTGCTCACCTTTACTATCCGTTGTGCTGTTAGTGTCGACACACAGCCAACCAAAGTATTCCTCTTCCTTCAGCACAAACACCAGGGAGGCATAGCCAAACACCAGGCCGGCAAATAACAGACACTCCAGCAACCCCGTGATCAGGGTCAGCCAGTAGCGCAGGCTGTAACCAGCTACAGTTCCCTGCATTTTTCACTTCGTCTTTCCAGCTCACACAAAGGTCAAACGGAACTTCCAGACAGATCTGTTCCTAAACCATGGAATGAAAAAATAACAGGTATACGTTTTCAGTTTTACATGCCTCAAATACAGCAAGAAGTGATCACAAATGCAAGAGGGAGCAACATCTGTGTGAGCATGGGCAGTATATGAACTGAAGGCCAAAGATGATAAAAAATAAAGTTCACTTGAGTTTTGAGTGGATTGTTTTATGCAACAGTAACAAGCTGACACAAAAAGTTAACATTTTCTCATAGAAATACTGAATGTTCATCAAAATTCATTGTGCAATGTGAAATGTTGCAATGTACACAATCACGGCAGCACTGGCTCTCTCATTTGCTTTATTTTCCCTAAAAGCCTTCCACACATTCTTCTTAGTTTCACTTCATATTTGTTACTTGGTTTTCAATGCCCCACCTGCCGCAGCAGGTTCAGAACCACCACATGAGAGGGAACCACAGTGTGGCATCTATACTAACTTGAACCCCGTAGGCTAAGATTTTACATACAAACAAATAGTAGCTGCACACAAAAAAGCCGCAATTAATTTCATCTTAACTCATTAGAATAGAATAGAATAGAATAATCCTTTAATTGTCCCACAAGGGGAAATTTGGTTGTAACAGTAGCCAAAAAGACACATATACAAACAAACAGTACACAGGACACAGAACAGAAACATACACAATTTTTCTTACATATTTACTAATTAATAATCAGATTAGGAATAACTCCACTTTTCCTTAAAACAGTTCCATACTTCTGTTAAAAAAACTGACTACAATAACACTGTGATGAACACACTTTTACCTTAATGTTTCCCAGTGAGTTTATTTGCATGGTGTATATGGTCCATTTATATTCTCCTCGAGTTAAACTCATTCTGCAAAGTGCAGAGACTACAGACAGGGCAACAGTTATCACCAAGGGGTGGTGGCTGTAATCCAGATTAATCCCGATAATCTACGTAATGACATATGGCACTACACAGACAAGGAACGCTCCAAATGTGACCATTAAAACACGATTATTCGAGAAATTTAACCTGGTCTTATCACAGTGTGAGGTTTAATATCATAAATACTTGTATAAAAGACAAATATACGTCCAGTTTTCTATGCAGAGGCAAATAATTAACTCATTTTAGTAGAAATCCAACAAAACATGCTTCTAAGCGCTGACCCTCATGAAAAAGGTAAGAAACAATGGTTACCCCATAACCTCTGGGTAATCCACACATGAGACTGTGGGGCCATGATGCATCTTGCACCCGATAAGCATGGGCAGAGAGCTTTACTCTCTCTGTTTATAGATGCAGCTTTAATCCCAGACAGACGGACACAGGGCGGGAAAGCACGTTTATACACTGATTCCAGTATCAGTCTAATTATGAGTTATAAACTAATCTAACGGACATGCAGTCCAGCCTGTTGACAGGTTTTCTCCCTGCTACATTTGGCGCTCGTTTCAAATAAAAAACAGGCTTAGGATCTTACTGCAGAAAAGACAAGAAAACCCATTTTCTTTCAGAATGCCCTTACTCAAATATAATCTGCTATTAATGCATATTTCACACTTTTTAACATGCCCCGTGGCTATGAAAAATAAAGGTCTTATATTAATAAGGTATGATTATTTATACAGCACTCATCTTATGGTGTAATTTCCAAACATTTCCTGTGTAATTTTGGTAGGTACAGCCAAACAAAGGAATAAACATATGATAATCCAAGT